TTTTATTTTATTTTATTTTATTTTATTTTATTTTATTTTATTTTATTTTATTTTATTTTATTTTATTTTAATCCCCCCTTTCCCATAACCACAACAGTTCAAGCTGTCAAATCCCCAAATTAAATGTTCATTTCCTTCCGTTTCTAGCCCAATGTCCAACAAATAAAGTAGAAAGGAAATTAGACCAAAAAAATCTCTCCTTTTTAATCAGAGAAGTCAGTCCCACCCTCTCAGCCAATTCCACTCCCTTTACCACCCAATCGTCCATTGAAGCAACTTGTGAGTCCTTCCTTCTCTGGATGTACACAACTCTGGCTGCTAATAATTTGCTTCTCTTTTGTAGGGCGTGAGTTTGGTTGAGCGCCTCTATTCTCAAGATCGCGTACCTTCCTGGACTGGAATAGGGTTTGTGAGAGTGCCCGAAGGAGCCTATTTGGAATTCTACATTGACAATATCCCGTTTTCTATGGAATATGATGTTCTGATTCGATATGAGCCTCAGGTAAATGGCTGCTGAGGGAATCGCGCGGCCTCGCAATGAGGAACGCCGATGTTTTGGGAGACGTTTAAAACCTGCCGAGTTAAAACATCTGTGCACTTGGTGGTCTGACTGTTTATTTTTTGTTTACTTCTTTATTTAATTATTAATTAATTAATTAAATTATTATCCCACCTTTGTTATTTTTATGAACAACTCAAGGGGGCGAACATATCCCACACACCTTCCTCTTCCTCCTGTTTTTCCCCACAATAACAACCGTGTGAGGTTTGTTGGGCTAAGAGAAAGGAACTTGCCCAAGATCAACCAGCCAGCTTTTGTATCTAAGGCAGGACTAGAACTCAGAGTCTCCTGGTGATTGGCCCAAGGTCACCCAGTTGGCTTTGATGGATAAGGCGGGAATAGAACTCAGTGTCTCCTGGTGATTGGCTCAAAGTCACCGAACTGGCTTTCATGGCTAAGGCGGAACTAGAACTCAGTGTCTCCTGGTGATTGGCCCAAGGTCCCCCAGCTGGCTTTGATGGATAAGGCGGGACTTGAACTCACAGTCTCCTGTTTTCTTGTGCCTTCACCACTAGATCAAACTGGCTTTTGTAGGACTGGCAATTTGATAATGTGTGTCTACCTTCAATTCCTTTGCTCCAAAGCAAGGTTGCATAGAAATTCTGTATTGTTCACGTACTCCTAATTCCTGCATGAGACAACACTGATGGATATCCAGGCCGTGTATTTTGAGTTTTGAAATGAACAGGGATCATTTTTTCCTAGTTACCAGATCAGTGGGAGAAAGCTACCATCAGCGTGTATCGCCCGGGCCAAATTCCTCCTAGTAGTAGATGTGGCAATACCGTTCCTGACGATGACAATCAAGAGGTATCCTTATCTCCCGGTTCCAGGTGAGTCTCAAACGAGAAGTACAGATAAGTCCTGAATTTACAAACCCAACTGAGGTCAGAATTTCTGTTGTTCAGCAACGCGGTTGCTATGGGTGTCGCTCCCCATTTTATAATCTTTTTTTTGCCAAGTGAAGCGAATTAACAGCAGTTGTTAAATGAATCAAGCAGTTGTTAAGGGAATCCTCTTCTCCCCGTTGATTTTGCTGGTTGGAAAATAGCTGGGAACGGCTGCAACGGGTGATCATGGGACTCCAGGATTTGGCAACTTTTATAAATACATGCTGGTGCCAAATGCCCAAATTGTGATCATGGAGATGTCGCTTGTGTGAGGACCAGTTGTAAGTCCCTTTTTCCAGTGCCGTTGTAACTTAGCAATAACACTTAGACTATATATACCGCTTCACAGTGCTGTACAGCCCTCTCCAAGCGGTTTACAGACTCAGCCTATCGCCCCCAACCATCTGGGTCCTCATTTTAGCGACCTCGGAAGGACGGAAGGCTGAGTCCACCTTGAGCAGACAGGATCGAACTGCTGGCAGTGGGCAGAGTTAGCCTGCAATACTGCATTCTCACCGCTGGGCCACCACGGCTCCTGAACTTTGAACAGCCTGTAAACAAAGGATTGTAAATCGAGGTATAAAACAAAAGAACAGTAAAGAGAAAAAACTCAGCGTCATCTAACCCAGAGGTCCCCAACCTGTTGGGTACCAGGGACCAGTTCCACGGAGAGAGGTTTTTCCGCGGACCGGAAGGTGCGTGGTTTCGTGTGCTGCCTGCATCCCGCGGATGGGGCTTTGCTTGTTTGTGCAGACCGGTTGCTGGCATGCCGCGGACCGGGACCGGTCCACGGACTGGGGACCCCTGATTTAACCAACAGTCTCAAAGAAAACCCAGTGCTTTTTAATGTATGACTTGGGATATGCCACATTATTTTTCCTTCATGGGTGTCCTGTTGCTAACACAGGTATGCCGTCCTTCCACGCCCCGTGTGCTTTGAAAAAGGCCTGAATTACACGGTTCGGTTGGAGCTCCCGCAGTACTCCTTAAACTCTGAGGTGGAAAATCCGTACACACTCATCGATTCAGTAAGTGGACGCTAAGATCAGCCCTTTAGGTGTAACGTAGCCACCGAGGAATGCGCCACAGAAAGAATTCCTCCGAGCCTACATTTTAGCACAAATGTCTCTGGAGATTCTCAGTCTGAGGAAATCTGGGAGGGGGTCTTCAAATTTGGCTCTTTTATGACTCGTGGACTTCAACTCCCAGAATTCCTGAGCCAGCATGGCTCAGCTTAAACCTCTCCCTTTCCCCTCAGCGTGGCTGGCTCAGGAACTCTGGGAGTTGAAGTTCACGAGCCATAAAAGAGCCAAGGTTGCCTACCCCTGGGCTAGTTCATTGCCAACGTGAAGCAAACTAAGCCTTCATCAACAGAAGAGAATATTCGCAGCTCAGGGTTGAACTGTGGGGTCCTTGGTGCTCTCTGAGCTTGGTGGTTTTCTTGCAGACGTTTCATGACCCAACTAGGTAACGTCATCAATGTTAGAAGGGAGGGATCTTTGCAGAGTGGAGGAGAAGGAGAAGGGGAGGAAGAAGAGAAGGAAGGGAGGGGGAGGAGGTGGGGGAGGGATGAGGAAGACTGCGGGGTCCTTTGCTGATCTCTGAGCTGGGTGGTTTTCTTGCAGACGTTTCATGACCCAAGTAGGTAACATCATCAGGGCTGCAAGGGAGGGATGTTTGCAGAGTGGAGGAGAAGGAGGAGGAGGAGGAGGAGGAGGGGGAGGACTGTGGAGGTCCTTGGTGCTCTCTGAGCTTGGTGGTTTTCTTGCAGACGTTTCATGACCCAACTAGATAACATCATCAGTGCTACAAGGGAGTGGGGTTCTCAAATGAGAGCAAGCCCCACACCCTTCTAGCACCGATGGTGTTACCTAGTTGGGTCATGAAACGTCCGCCAGAAAACCACCAAGCTCAGAGAGCACCCAGGACCCCACAGAATAAGCTGTCTTACATTTTAACGAAGCTGTACATGGAACATGAGTTCCGCTTTGTATTTTTTTAAATTTATTTTTCTGGGATTCTTGCTGGAATTCTCAGAAAGTTGCCCCTATCAGGGGGCAACTTGGGAATTGGCTTCTGCCACGTGAGAGGAGGTTGAAGAAATGGACGAAGCCCAACCGCGTAGGGAGCGTTCCTTGTGACTCCTTGGGACCGTATCTTCGGAAGATACAACACTTGGGTGGGTCCATCTTAAAATACACCAATAAGGCTTGGTTAATCTCGTTCTGCAGCTTGTCCTCATGCCATATTGCAAGTCCCTGGACCTCTTCACGGTTGGAGGCCGAGGCGACGACGTGACAACCAACAGCGCGTGGGAAACCTTTCAAAGATACCGTTGCTTGGAGAACAGCAGGAGCGTTGTCAAAACGCCCATGACTGATGTTTGCAGGAATATAATTTTTAGCATCTCAGCCCTGTTGCATGAAACCGCATTGGGTAAGTAGGTGTCCCTGGTTGAGAACAGGGGTCTCCAGACCTGGCCATTTTAAGACTTGTGGACTTCAACTCCCAGAATTCCTCAGCCAGCGTGAATTCTGGGAGCTGCAGCCCACAAGGCTTTAAAGTTGCCATGTTTGGAGAGCCCTGGTTGAAAACTGAACATACGGTAAGTACATACGGTTGCTTCTCCCCAAATTAGCCCTTTTAAACCAGGGTTTCTCAATCTCAGCCACTTCCAGAAGGGAAGAGTTAGTTCCTCCATAATGTCTGGGGGAATTCTGGGAGTTGAAGTCCACCCAGTTTTAAAATGGCTGAGTTTGAGGAACTACTGCTCTAAATTCAGGCAACCTCTCTAACTGTTAGGATTTGTCTCAAATGAAGGCGGATCTACGTGTCCCAGGATAGTGTTACAGGATCCGATCTGGGTCGATCTCCGGAATCGGAGATTTTGGTCTTCCAAGCTTTCGGATTTTTGGACCATGATGTAAAAAAGATGTTGAGACTCTGGAAAGAGTACAGAGAAGAGCAACAAAGATGATTAGGGGACTGGAGGCTAAAACATATAAATAAGGGTTGCTGGAATTGGGTATGTCTAGTTTAACGAAGAGAAGGACGAGGGGGGGACATGATAGCAGTCTTCCAATATCTCAGGGGCTGCCCCAAAGAAGAGGGAGTCAAGCTATTCTCCAAAGCTCCTGAAGGCAGGACGAGAAGCAACGGATGGAAACTCATTAAGGAGAGAAACAACCTAGAACTAAGGAGAAACTTCCTGACAGTTAGAACAATTAACCAGTGGAACAGCCTGCCTCCAGAAGCAGTGAATGTTCCAACATTGGNTTATTATTATTATTATTATTATTATTATTATTATTATTATTATTATTATTATTATTATTATTATTACTACTACTACTACTACTACTACTACTACTACTACTATTACTACTATTACTACTACTACTACTATTATTCTGGAGCCCATCTTTGGGGAGCCTCCCTCCAGCAGAGTCTGTGCTGTTTTTTGTCTGGTGATGTTATGATGTTGATTGGGGTGGTGGTACACACCCCAATCAACATCGAAAAAGCCACATACAACAGGCACCATATAAATACCACACGTCTTCTTTATAAAGAATGAAGACTGGGGTTAAACCACCCAGAGAAGCACTTTGCATCACTGTTGTTTGCCTGTGTCAGCCGTTTTAGCAAGTTATTTGCCATTTCCTTGGCTTTTCTGCATTTTCACACAGTTTCTGTTGTGTGGTGCGATTCTTTTAGTTTCGCTTGATATTGTTCAGCAGCCAGAGTCACGTGGGAGGCTATACAAATTGAAGGAATAAGCGAAGGGATGAAGGAATGAATGAATAACTTGTTCCAAATATCTATCTTTCTCCTTTTTTTTTTTTTTAAGCTTGCCAGTGTGACCCACAAGGTTCGCTGAGTTCAGTGTGCGATCCCAACGGAGGCCATTGTCAGTGTCGACCCAATGTGGTTGGCCGAAGATGCGATAAATGCGCCCCGGGCACCTTTGGCTTTGGACCCACTGGATGCAAACGTAAGTTCTGTCTTCGTTCCGGAGACCCCGATGCTGTTCTATAATGTTATTTGGCAAGAATTAAGAAAAAAGAATCTTTTGGTTTCTCTCTTGTATCACATCTGTAAAAATCCTCATGAACTAAAATGAAAAGACAAATCTGTGGGGTCCTTGGCGCTCTCTGAGCTTGGTGGTTTCCTTGCAGATGTTTCATCACCAAACTAGCACTGATGATGTGACCTAGTTGGGTAAAAAAAATGTCAGCAAGAAAACAACTTCAGGGACCCCACAGTCCTCCTCCTTTTCCTCCTCCTCTTCCTCCATCATTCCACAAACCCTACTCCCTTCTAGCACTGATGATGTTACCTAGTTTGGTAGTGAAACGTCTGCAAGGAAACAACCAAGCTCAGAGAGCACCAAGGACCCCACAGTCCTCCTCTTCCACCTCCTCTTCCTCCTCTTCCTCCTCCTCCTCCTCCCTGCAAATCCCCCTCCCTTCTAGCACTGATGATGTTACCTAGTTGGGTAATGAAACATCTGCAAGAAAACCACCCAGCTCAGGGAGCACCAAGGACCTCACAGTTCAACCCTGGCCTACAAGTATTCTCTTCTATTGACGAAGACTTAGTCTGCCTCACGGTGGTAATGAACTAGCCCAGGGGTAGGCAACCTTGGCTCTTTTATGACTTGTGGACTTCAACTCCCAGAATTCCTCAGCCAGCATGGCTCAGCTTGGAACCCTCTCCCTTTCCCCTCAGCGTGGCTGGCTCAGGAATTCTGGGAGTTGAAGTTCACGAGCCATAAAAGAGCCAAGATTGCCTACCCCTGAATTAGCCAGACATTTAAAAAGCCACCACTAGGTGATCATGGATGGTGCTGACTTTCCATTTCATCCTGATATCTCTGTTTTTTTGTTGTTGTTTTTTAGCCTGCGAGTGTCACGTCCAAGCGTCTGCAAACGCCTTCTGCCACCCGGAGACCGGGCAGTGCCATTGTTTCCACGGAGTTTACGGCCGCCAGTGCGACAGATGTTTGCCCGGATACTGGGGGTTCCCAAGCTGCCAGCCCTGCCAGTGCAACGGTCACGCGGACGAGTGCGATCCCTACAGTGGCCAGTGCTTGCATTGTCGCGATCACACCTCAGGCCCCAATTGTGAGAGGTACGGGTTCTTTTGGGCTAGGAACTTGGGTTTTCAAAAGGGGCGCGCGTGCCAGTTTTAAGATCGGGGACTCTACAACCTTGGCAACTTTTGAAGACTTGTGGACTTCATCAAAGGCCTGGAGACTAAAACATAACGAAGAACGGCTGCAGGATTTGGGTTTGGCCTTTCTAGAGAAAAGAAGGACTAGGGGTGACATGATAGCAATGTTCCAGTATTTGAGGGGCTGCCACAAAGAGGAGGGGGGTCAACTTATTCTCCAAAGCCCCAGAAGGCAAGGCAAGAAACAACGGGTGGAAACTAATCAAGGAGAGAAGCAACCTGGAATTAAGGAGAAAGTTCCTAACAGTGAGGATGATTAACCGGTGGAACGGCTTGCCTCCAGACATTGTGGGTGCTCCATCACTGGAGGTTTTTAAGAAGAGACTAGACAGTCACTTGCCTGAGATGGTCTAGGTTCTCCTGCTTGAGCAGGGGGCTGGACTAGATGACCTCCAAAGTCCCTTCCAGCTCTATTCTGTTCTAATTCCCAGAATTCTTCTGGTAGCTTTTAGGAAGCGATTAAAAACAGAACTTTTTCACAAAGCATGCTTCGGGAAGAGGGACAGGCCCTCCTTTTATAGGGACTCAGTAACCACCCAGAGTTGTGAGATTACTGTGGGATAAAAATGGAATAAACAAATAAATGGAGGTGTTTTGTTTTTTTTAAAGGCCCAGTGAAAAGAGCTGTAGGCTGCGTTTTTTATATTTGCGCTTAGAGAAAAACCCTAAGCACTAAATAAGTACTATTTTCAGTACATCCGTGCTGTATCGTGTGCCTTGTGATAAGCCTCGTACTATAACATTTTAGATGCCTTGCTGGTTATTATGGAGATCCAGTCTTGGGATCAGGGGATCACTGCCGTCCTTGCCCGTGCCCAGATGGTCCGGAAAGTGGGCGCCAGTTTGCCAGTGGCTGTTATCAAGACCGGATTACGTTACAAGTGGTGTGCATTTGTGAGACAGGATATAAAGGTAAGTGGGGTTGTAAAATAACTCTAATTCAGGGGTCCTCAACCTTGGCAATTTTAAGACTTGTGGACTTCAACTCCCAGACTTTTTTTTGCAGACGTAGCCTCATCAACCTTCAATCATATTTGGCCAATAAAGAATTCTATTCTATTCTATTCTATTCTATTCTATTCTATTTTCTATTCTTTCTATTTTATTTTCTATTCTAGTCTGGTCTATTCCATTCCATTGTATTCCTATTCCTATTTTCTATTTTTTATTTTATTTTCTATTCTAGTCTGGTCTATTCTATTCCATTCCATTCCTATTTTCTATTTTATTTTCTATTCTATTCTATTCTATTCTATTCTATTCTATATCCCATTTTCTATTTTCTATTCTATTCTATATCCTATTTTCTATTTTCTATTTTCTATTCTATTCTTTCTATTTTATTTTCTATTCTAGTCTGGTCTATTCCATTCCATTCTATTCCTATTTTCTATTTTCTATTCTATTCTATTCTATTCTATTCTATTCTATTCTATTCTATTCCATTCCATTCCATTCCATTTCTATTTTATTTTCTGTTCTGTTCTGTTCTGTTCTTTCTATTCTATTTTCTATTCTGTTCTATTTCTATTTTATTTTATTATTTTATTTTATTATATTTTCTATTCTATTCCATTCCATTCCATTCCCATTTTCTATTTTATTTTATTTTATTTTCTATTCTAATTCTATTCTATTCTATTCTATTCTATTCTATTCTATTCTATTCTATTCTATTCTATTATGCCATTCCATTCCATTCCTATTTTATTTTGTTTTCTATTCTGTTCTGTTCTTTCGATTCTATTTTCTATTCTGTTCTATTTCTATTTTATTATTTTATTATATTTTCCATTCCATTCTATTCTATTCCATTCCACTCCATTCTATTCATATACAGTAACATTTATTAATTTTTTGTTCAGCTACATCTTAATGATCTATTCCATGTTAATAAGTATTCCAGTCCAGTGCCCTTATAAGAATGGTGAGGCTTTACAAAGAGTTAAAGATGGGGGTCCTGCTTCTTAACTCACATACGTTCATACTTTGGTTCGTGGCTGGATTTCAGCCAGTTTGGTCCACCTCTTAAGGCACCAAGCTATAAAACTGGAGACCATGAGTTCTAGTCCTGTTTTAGCCAGGAAAGCTGGATGGGTGACTTTGGGCCGATCACCAGGAGACTGTGAGTTCTAGTCCCACCTTCTCCATGAAAGCCAGCTGGGTGACCTCAGGCCAGTCTCTTCTCTCTCTCAGCCATCCCACCTCACAGGGCTGTTGTGGGGAAAATAGGAGGAGGAAGGTGTGTTGTCTACGTTTGTCACCTGGGGTTATATGTAAAAATAACAAAGGCAGGATATAAATAAATAACAATTTGCTGATGGTTTTTTTCTTTTTCTTTGATTGCTGGTTTGAACAGGAAGCCGATGCGATGAATGTGCCTCTGGCTTCTTTGGAAACCCCGAAGAGGTTCGTGGGACTTGCCAGCCCTGCCAGTGTAACAACAACATCGATTCCTCTGATCCAGAGGCCTGTGACAAGAGGACAGGCTTGTGCCTCAAGTGTTTGTTTCACACCCAGGGCCAACACTGCCAAGAGTGTAAACCTGGCTACTACGGATGGGCTCTTCAGCAGGATTGCAGAAGTAAGTGGACAGGGGACCTCCGCCTTTGACTGTTGGGGGTCCCACTTGGCCTTAGATATTTGCAAAGATACCAGCTTTTGAATCGTGAGCTCTACACCAGGGGTCCCCAAGGTGTGGGCTGTAGCCCAATACCGGTCCGTGGACTATTTGCAACTGGGCCATGTGAATGGCTGGCTGGTGCATGCGCATGTGCACGCATGCACACAGCCCCACTCACTTGAGTGTCACAGGTCCTCGAGCCTCACTTGTGCAAGTGTCACAGGTGCCCGGGGCCCCACTAGCGTGACCATCGCAGAGGCTCACTACCACATTTGCGTGAGCTTCGCAGGCGCTTGGGGCCCCACTCGTGCAAGCCTCATGAGCGCTTAGGCCTCACTTGCGTGAGCATTGCAGACAGTTAGACCTCACTTGCGCGAGCATCACAGGTGCATAGGGCCCCACTCATGCGAGCATCGCAGGCAATTTTTTTCCCATAAAGGCATGCCTTACAAATTAAGGAACGATGAGCTTAAAAGTTTCTTTTCAGCTTTATTCCCTTCAAAAATCTAAATGGTACCCATTTCACTAATGGAATTTGGGAAGGATGAGGACCAGTGGTGGGATTCAGCCAGCTCGCACCAATTCGGCACAACCGGTAGCTAATTTTTTGTTGCCCAGGCCCAGAACGGACTTCCGGAAGCGGCATCCATGCAGGGAACCGGTTGTTCGCCTATTTGAATCCCACCACCGGATGAGGGGACAAAGTCATTTCCTCACCTGCAAATCAGAAATCCTTTTTAATTTTCTGGGAATCTGCCCCTAGGTTGCATAGTAGCCTCTCTCCAATTCCAGGGCAGGGTGTAATTTACTGGAGCATACTGGAAAATTCCTCCATGGAGAAGATAAAACTCATCAAAGGTCAAGAGATGAGCCTGCTTTAGCATGAATAGGCTTTTGTGGATTACGAGCGCTCTCAGATTTTAACCCCAACATCTAATTAGACAGGGCTTATCTTGAGAATGCCAAAGAAGTACGTTGTGCAATGGGTTTGCTTAGCTTGGTAACTTTTGTGTAGGCTGAAAAGAAGCTTTGAGGAGTGGGAAGTTCTTTTTATTAACATTTATTGTTGCTCTTTATCAATGGAAGACTTCCAATCTTCAGACATTAGAGGGGAAATGTATTGTGTTGAGGAAAAATGGATTTTTAAAAAAAAATCAGTAGGAAGAGGATGTGAGAATAGGAAAAACATCAGTTCCTTTAATGTGGCATCGGTTTTTATGCTTCTTATAGAGGGATAACCTATTTAAACTTGTATATACCAATCACACATTAATAGACTAGCAATTAAGGAATGGATATTAGCCGAAAAAAGCTGGTATGGCTACTGAAATAAGCCTAATATAGTTTTCTCCAGTTCTTTGGAATTATACATCTTATTTTCTCAGAACGATTGGTAGGATTTCCTCACTGTATCCACTACAGGTAATTCTCGACTTACAGCCACAACTGAGCCCAAAATTTCCATTGCTAAGGAAGGCAGTTGTGAAGTGAGTTTTGCCCCATTTTACGGCCTTGCTTGGCACCGTTGTTAAACAGATTACTGCAGTTTTTAAGCGAATCACGCCCCATTTTACGGCCTTGCTTGGCACCGTTGTTAAATCACGATTACTGCAGTTTTTAAGCGAATCACGCGAATCAGTTTGCTGGTCAGAAGCCAGCTGGGGAGCTTATAACTGGTGGTCACGTGACTGTCATGCAACTGCAACTGTCATAAGGACATGCCAGTTTCCAAGCACCCGAATTTATTATTTTTTTATAATATTTTATTGGTTTTCCAGTTTTACATTTAAGTATTTGGAAGGCAACGTGGTGATTGGGTTAATCAGTAGTTCAATAACAACATCTTTAGCACATATCTCAGGTTACATCATCACAATTTCTTCTCTGTTTACCTTAACATTTGTTATGTCGTATTTAAGCTAGTAAATTTCTAATTGTATCAAACTCAGTGAAATCTTCATTATAACATTTATCGATACATTTTTTTCCTTAAACATATCTTAGTAGATCTTGATAAACAATCCACAGCCTGTTATTAAGTTTTACCTAATTTTTAGTTTTGAATTACAATAGTCCAATTTCACCTTTAAGATCCATAATGTTTAAATTTTGGGTAACCAAAATTTCCTTTGTCTTGCTTCATAAAAATTGTAATGTCTAAGATATACACATTACTTAAATATATTCTTATTCTATTTCATAAACGTTTTCTATTTCTCACCCTAGTACCTCACCACCTTAATAATAGAGTATCCTTTATTAACACAAATCCATCATCTATATTATTTGGGCTAATCCATAGTTCAAATCTATTTCCTAATAGTTAGGAATTTCCCTTATAGGTCTAAGTCCTCAATATTAAACAGATTAATCCCTTATTTTTTTTACTATTTTCCAACTATTTTTAAATCTAATAATAATTTCCCCTTGTCTCAAAATCTTCTTTTAGCCCACTAATTGGGAGTTTAGGATCCTCTCTAGTCCAGGGCTTTTCAACCTTTTCACCCATTGTACCACTCTTAGGATATGGCAACATCCTAGCAAGGTGTTAAAAACATGATGACCAAAAAAAAAGGGAAAAAGTGATAAAGTACAGGTAGTCCTCGACTTACAACAGTTCGCTTAGTGACTGTTCGAAGTTAACAATGGCACTGAAAAAAGTGCCCCCCGAGCCACAGCCGAGCAAGACACCTGCCTGCCCACCCAATGGCGCTCTTCCTCCTGTCCGAGGTTTCCATTGTTCCAAATGTTCCATTGAGCATTTCTGTTGAGGATTGGCAGCAGGGGTGGGGTGGGGGGTTGGTTTTTATTCCTCCCCCCCCCGTCTGCTGGGTGGTTGCAGCAGGTTTTGGTCACTTCACATGACCCTGGGACACTGTGACTGTCATAAATATGAATCAGTTGCCAAGCCTCTGAATGTAAATCACAAGACCCTGGAGATGCTGCAACATTCCAGCTGATCGGCGCTTCTTCTGGGCTCAGCAGAAGCGCCAGGATCAGCACTGAGCTCCAGCTGGAGCCTGGCGCTGATCCTGGCGCTTCCGCTGAGCCCTGACAGCCCCGAAGAAGCGCCGATCATCTGGAAAGCGGCACTGATCCTGGCGCTTCCGCTAAGCCCTGACAGCCCTGCAGCTCCAGCCGTCTCTCGCTCAGGCTTGTGCAGTGCTGCCACCGGTTCAGATAATTCCCCTCCCCCGCTACCACTTTTCTAGGATGGTCGCGTACCACGTGCCAGGTGCCAATGTACCACAGGTGGTACCCGTACCACGGGTTGAAAAGCCCTGTTCTAGTAGATAAAAAAACCCCAGTTCTTCAGCCTAATTCAAGCACCCGAATTTTGATCCTGTGATCATGGGGATGCTGCAACGGTTGTGTGAGATCTGAGATCTTCTCTCCCTTTTTTGGGTATCACTTCTTCTTCCAACAAACACACTGCAAGACATGGTGGTAGTTTTTGCTACTCCTCCCTTCCAGAGTGTGTCTGCAATTATCTGGGGACGGTACATCAGCGCTGCAGCAGCGCCGAAGACTGTGAGTGTGAGAGAGAAACGGGCCAGTGTCAGTGTCTCCCTAACGTGGTCGGGCAGAATTGTGATCACTGTGCTCCAAACACATGGCAACTGAGCAGCGGGACCGGATGCGAATCCTGCGCCTGCAATCTGGAGCATTCCTTCGGGCCATCCTGCAACGAGGTGAGGAAGCTTTGTCGGAGCTAAGGGTGGCAGGTGGAGACCAACTCTGGCTGGGTTAAGATTTCCAGACCAATGAGATCCAAACTCATCTTCCAGGAAATGGGCCAATCACTGGGAGACAGTGAGTTCTAGTCCCGCCTTAGGCAAGAAAGCCAGCTGGGTGACTTTGGGCCAATCACAGGGAGACAGTGAATTCTAGTTCCGCCTTAGGCAAGAAAGCCAGCTGGGTGACGTTGGGCCAATCACAGGGAGACAGTGAGTTCTAGTTCCGCCTTAGGCAAGAAAGCCAGCTGGGTGACTTTGGGCCAATCACAGGGAGACAGTGAATTCTAGTCCCGCCTTAGGTAAGAAAGCCAGCTGGGTGACTTTGGGCCAATCACAGGGAGACAGTGAGTTCTAGTCCTGCCTTAGGCAAGAAGGCCAGGTGGGTGACTTTGGGCCAATCACAGGGAGACAGTGAGTTCTAGTCCCGCCTTAGGCATGAAAGCTGGTTGGGTCATGGGTTCCATCTTGACTTTCTTTCAATCATGCCTTGCACAGACACCCTGAGTAAGTGACAAAAAGCATATGACAAATAGCTATATATCAGTATTCGTGGACTTGTGGACTTCAACTCCCAGAATTCCTGAGCCAGCAGGGGGGAACTATGGCCCCTTCATGACTCGTGGACTTCAACTCCCAGAATTCCTAAGTCAGCCACGCTCAGGGGAAAGGGAGAGGTTTCCAAGCTGAGTCAGGCTGGCTCAGGAATTCTGGGAGTTGAAGTCCACGAGTCCTAAAAGAGCCAAGGTTGCCTACCCCTGGTCTAGCCTATCAAAGAGAAGGGCTACGTAGGACATGATGAGTGTCTTCCACTACTTGAGGGGCTGTCACAAAGAAGAGGAGATTGGTTTATTCTCCTTGAGGGCAGGACAATTAAAAATGGGCAGAAGATTGTTTAAGAGAAATCTTAACAAGCAGTAGGGAGAAATTCCCTGACAGTGAGAACAATTAACCAGTGGAACAGCTTGCCTCCAGAAGTTGTGGATGCTCCAACACTGGGGGTTTTCAAGAAGAGACTGGACAACCGTTTGACTGGGATGGTAGAAGGCTCCTGTCTTGAGCAGGGGTTGGACTAGAAGACCTCTGAGGTCCTTTTCAGCCCTATGATTCTATATTCTATGTTCTTCTTACATAGTGTCCGCCATGATTTAGAAGGGATAGAATTAGTAGAAGAAGAGAGGCTGGGCGAATTGCCCATAATAAAAAAAAAATGTGAAAGTTCCTAATTATGGATCCGTATTATGACCAGCCTGGCTTTAGTATTGATTAATCACTGATTTAAAGTTGTTTCCCTCCACCTTCTTTTTTTAAAATTAATAGTTCACCGGGCAGTGCCAATGTATGCCAGGATTCGGGGGACGCACCTGTACGGAATGTCAGGAATATTTCTGGGGTGACCCTACTGTGGGCTGTCAAGGTGAGTATGTTATTATTCCTTGTTCTCCCTGCCTGTTTTCAAGGGCTACATTCAAATATTCAAATAAATGGAGGTGGTTCTGATATTATGGGACAATCCAAGGTAGCTGTGGATGATTTGATTCGTGATGATGTATGGGGAACAAACAAAGTATTGTCCACGTTGGTTTCATTTGGTCTAAATGCAAGAAATTAGACACAAGACTGGAAAAGATAAAAGTAGCTTCCTTATAGTCTCTTGATGTTTCGTTATTTGTTATATATCCAGGACTTGCTAACAAGGCTTAGTCTGTTTATGTTGCAATTGTGTTATCTTAAAGGACTTTAAAAGGCCTCAGTGAGCTTATCTGGTGTTTTAATTTTAGTGTGGCTAAATTTAACATCGTTGGATTTATATATTGGTTTATGAACAACCCCGTTAAAAAAATAAAATAAGATTTTGCAGAGTGGAAAGTGTAGTCTTCATTAGATACACATCTCTTTTCATTGTTTAATTAGAACTATAACAAATGTGAGCTCCTGCAAAAGAAAAAAAAAGAATGTGTTAAAAGTATAGAAATAATTGAAAATGCCCAAAAGGTGCAGACTGTAAAATTCAGTTATATATGCAATAAAAAGTAGGTAGGTAGGTAGGAAGGAAGGAAGGAAGAAAGGAAGAAAGAAAGAGAGAAAGAGAGAGAGAGAGAGAGAGAGAGAAAGAAAGAAAGAAAAAGGTTAAATCAGTTCATTATATGCAGTAATTTTATTTGTTCCATTGAAGCAATTTGGCAAATGAATATATTCCTTGGTTCCCATTGTTTATTTCTTAGGAGTTTTAAATTATAATTTAACATGGAATGCTAGTTCAAGATTTTTTTATCAATAGTTTTATCCTACTTAGACAAATAACGTTTTTTTCATGACTTGCAGCTCTAATCCAGTCAAACCTTTTTGAAAAATTGGTTAATTTGATTTAATTCGTTTAATTAAATTTGATTTGATTAATACTTTCCAAATATTACCGGCCTTGTGTATTACACAGCGTTTCTAGGCATCAGGTAACGCTGACATGCTGTCTTTCAATGCACAATCTCTGATGCCAAAATGTACTCTCATACTTTTGACCATTTTTTTTTTTTTAAGGTAGGACCGTCTTTTCTTTCTCATTTTTTTTAAGGTGTCGCCTGTTTTCACGGGTTTAAACCAGGGGTCTCCAACCTTGGCAACTTTAAAACTTGTGGATTTTAACTCCCAGAATTCCCCAGCTAGAATGGCTGTTCACACATCTTAAAGTTGCCAAGCTTGGAGGCCCCGGTTTAAACTGATTGATAAATTCTTCCATGTTATTTGAGAGCTTTCGGGGGGTTTTTTGTTTAAAAGCTATAATTTTTTCATTATTTCTGAACTAAGGAGTGGGTGTGAAGGGTTGAATCCTGATGTGGTGGGCCAGGGGGATGGCCTGGAGGGAGAGGAGAAAATTCGATCATCAAGGCAACAATCAGATGAAGGAAACTTGAGTCTGAGGCAGGACTGTAATTTGAGAAAATACCTCAGAAAAACTCTAGTTCTCCCAAAGATAAAAGAAAGAGGAGAAACGGATTCAGACTTGCAAGACCACGTTACTATATATATATATATATATTTATAATACAAATATAGGGGTGGCATGATAGCAGTGTTCCAGTATTTCAGGGGCTGCCCCAAAGAAGAGGGAGTCAACCTATTCCCCAAAGTACCTGAAGGCAGGACAAGAAGCAACGGATGGACACTAATCAAGGAGAGATGCAACCTGGAATTAAGGAGAAATTTCCTGACAGAACAATTTATCAGTAGAACAACTTTCCTCCAGAAGTTGTGGATGCTCCATCACTGGAAGCTTTCAAGAAGCATTTGGACAGCCATTAGTCCAGAATAGTATAGGGTCTCCTGCTTGAACAGAGGTTAGACCAGGGGTCTTCAAACTTGGCCCCTTTATGACTTGTGGACTTCAACTCCCAGAATTCCTCAGCCAGCCGTGATAGATAGACAGACAGACAGACAGACAGACAGATAGATAGATAGATAGATAGACCTTAATAATACTAAAAATGCGAATCCTGGGCATCATAATACAAATTAAAAGAAAAGTGAACACCAGGATAAAATAACCAGACCGTTTAATGCAAACAAGCCAGTAGATAAAAAGTCACTAAGCTTTCGTCGGCAGCCGACGTCGGCAGAGTTGGAATAAAAGGAGATCTGGGAGCCGATTTATGTAACCGCCTGCCTCTGCGCCGGCCTGTCTATAGATAGATAGACAGATAGACAGACAGACAGATAGGATATAGATATAAAGATAGACATAGATAGATAGATAGATAGATAGATAGATAGATAGATAGATAGATAGATAGATAGATAGATAGATAGATAGATTTATCATCTATCATCCATTTCTCTCCTTCTCTCTCTCTCTCTCTCTCTCTCTGTCTATCTATCTATTTATCATCTATCTATCATCCATTTCTATGTATCTCTCTCTATGGATTTTAGATAGATTTATCATCTATCATCCATTTCTCTCCTTCTCTCTCTCTCTCTCTCTCTCTCTCTCTCTCTCTCTCTCTCTCTCTCTATCTATCTATCTATCTATCTATCTATCTATCTATCATCCATTTCTATGTATCTCTCTCTATGGATTTTAAATACAGAATTGTAGAATTGGAGTGAACAAATTAGGCCATCAGATCCAACATTTTCTTCTGTGCAGAGATCTATTTTAAAGCAGTCCCTGGCATATGGCTGTCCAGCCTTTACTTTAACCTATTCAACTAAGGAGAGCTACCGTATGGCTGGATAATTAGCTCCCAAATTAACAAACTCGATCTTAACTGGAAGGAAGTTTGTCCTTACCTTCAGCCAGAAACTGCCTTCCTGTAGCTTAAACCTTATATTCCCTGTCCTGCATTCTGGAATGTAGTTTACAGTGTAATTGACCTTGTTCTGCCAGGTGTCCTCCCAGGTATTTGAAGAATGTTATCCTATCCCCTTTTGGTTTTTCTCTTCTCAAGATTAAACGTTCCAGTTTGTTCGATCCTTCTTCAAAGGATGTAGTTTTGAGTGCTCAGTTGACAGCTTTCTTCTCTGAACATGTTCCAGTTTTTCCTGAATCCTCCTTAATCTATGGTGCTCAGACTTGCCAAACCCATGTTTATATATATATATATATATATGGTGATATCACGATAGAGTATCTGAGCGTTGATTGTTTATTCGTTCACACTAAGACATGTTTACATTCTCCCTGTGCGTTTTATTCTGTTCCAATATTGGTGGAGGTTTAAGTATGTTTGGAATGTGAAGAATACAGACCTGGTCAGTTTCACCAAAGAGCTGTCCTTCAAATGGTCGCCTTGGTAGGCCTGGCCAATCACAAAACAGGTCTGGATGCTCCCAATTTGAATCAAGACGTGCACACAGTAGTTTTATCAGAATACAGAACAACAGAGTTGGAAGGGGCCTCGAATTGTGAGTTCTAGTTCTGCCTTAACCATGAAAGCTGGCTGGGTAACTTTGGGTCAGTCACCAGGAGATCATGTTCTAGTCTTGCCTTAACCACGAAAGCTGGCTGAATGACTTTGGGTCAGTCACCAGGAGATCGTGAGTTCTAGTCTTCCCTTAACCACGAAAGCTGGCTGGGTGACTTTGGGCCAGTCACCAGGAGATCGTGAGTTCTAGTCTTGCCTTAACCACGAAAGCTGGCTGGGTGACTTTGGGTCAGTCACCAGGAGATCGTGAGTTCTAGTCTTCCCTTAACCACGGAAGCCGGCTGGATGACTTTGGGTCAGTCACCAGGAGATCATGAGTTCTAGTCTTGCCTTAACCACGAAAGCTGGCTGGGTGACTTTGGGTCAGTCAGCAGGAGATCATGAGTTCTAGTCTTGCCTTATCCATGAAAGCCAGCTGGATGACCTTGGGCCAGTCTCTTTCTCTCAACCCAACTCACCTCATAGTTGTTGTTGTTATGGGAAAAATAGGAGAAGGACGGTGTGTTGGACATGTTCACCGCCTTGAGATATTCATAAAAATAGTAAAGATGGGCTACGGATCAGTAAAACGGATAGAAAGCGTAACCTAATGGACTTGGGAATCTTCAAGAGGAAGACTCATCTACTGATGGCTTCAATGTTTATCCAAGTCCGGATTTCGATTGATTCATGAGTCAATTCTCCAAAACTAACCTTTTAAGGGTTAAGTGGGACCTCCTCCCCCCATGTCTACCCCCACACCCAGACCTAATGTTCAAAGCAAAATGAATTGCCAGAGGGCAGATACATTCCATAGCCAGGCCATTCACAGTAGGGATGCCGCAGTGGCTTTGAAGAAAATAAAGCACTATGTATGTGTTGGGCCTTTATTTCTGGGAACAAAAAGGCCACTTTGTTAAAATTGCACCAAGATAAGTTGAACCAGCTTTTTTTTTTTTCCTTTCTCTCTGTTGGTCAAATTCTTCTCCCTGTTGGTCAAATTCTCCACAAGAGAAGCGGTTTTGTTTGAGGTCATTTGCTCCTTTAAATGGCCTTTTACAAATGGGGCTAAAGAATGTGAATGTGTTTTAAGGAAATAGTGATTTTTTTCCTTCTCTTTCCTTTGGTCACCGTCACTTTTTTTTTTTTAATGAGAACTTTGATTATTTGGAGAAGAACCTTCAACAGTCAAAGTGCTCGGAAACCAGAAAGTTGAACGTAAAATTCTGAACGACTTCCTGAAAGATTTATCAACCACTTATACGATAAATGTATAGGGGAGTATTGGATAATACGCTGCATTTCTAAGAGCTTTCGTTTGCCAGATGCCAAAGAAAATCGGAATGTTGACATATATATATATATATGCTTGTGATTTCATTTGGATTACATTGTACAACAACTGACATTTCACAGTGGCGGAAAGAAGATTCGCATTTGTTTTGGTCTTTGTTTAAACAAAGTTTTTCAGCGGTAGCGTTTTCCAGTTTTGTTTTCTCCTATCTGGCTATTTGGGGGTAGACTAACAACAACAAAAATTGCTGTTGACTGCCGATTCTCTTAGTAGGTCACTGATGAACGTGATCTAGAACCATTTCTATGGATGGAAATTGTGTCATTGATCTGAGTGGACCATGAGCTGTACTCAAAACGGAGACTGGGCATCAAAATTATATAAGAAAAAGAAATCTAAGCGGTGATTAGAATGCAGTATTGCAGGCTAATTCTGCCGACTGCTATCAGTTCGATCCTGACCGGCTCAAGGTTGACTCAGCCTTCCATTTTTTCTGAGGTCGGTAAAATGAGGACCCAGATTGTTGGAGGCAAATATACTCACTTAGAGAGGGCTGTAAAGCACTATGAAGTCTAAGTACTATTGCCACTGCAATTAATATTATAAATTCTGATTTTCCGTGCAGAAAACACTCCTCTGTATCAATTTTTAAGTCCAACATAAAAGAGATTTTAAAGTCTTAACTGGAGCGTTGAAGACTTGAAGGTCTACCAAATGAGGGTACCACAGCTTGTATCTAATGTCCTTTCATATTCTCAAGAAGGAGGGGAGGGGGAATGAAGGTAAAATGCTAAAAAAATAATAATGCTAAAATGTTTAGCATTTTATTTATCTATTAAACAAGTTTCTTTGCCCATCCATCTCCCCAGTAGAACTTTTGGGCAGCGAGCAAAGATTGAAAATTTAGTTAGTGCATTATCCAAATCAGTTTAAAAAACAGACACACACCCCCCACCCATACCAGAGCTACATTGATATGGAGAAAAGCCAGGTCTTTGAGGATTTCTGGAAGGATCAAGTCCATCCAAATCTCCAGGGCAAATCGGTTCTTTTTTTTAAAAAAAGACAAGTTTTATTGTTTTTTTTATTTTTAAAACAAAGTACTCAAGACATACCGTGGTGTTAGGGTGGTCAAACATCCGCAGACAAAACATATATACATAATTCAATCAATACATCAAAGATTCCCTCTCTTTTTCCCTTAAGTAACGTATTTTATTTAAAACAATCCAATTCTAGCTTAAATTTATTCAACCTAAACCTGTTTTTAAAGCTTTATAAATTTACACTACCATAATCAAAATAACTTTTAAGTACAAACATTATCAATTCGGGTATCCCTTCCAAATATATTCTAATTCCTTAATTTTATCCATAGATCTTATTTATTTCTTCTTCCACTAATATCCCTTATTTAAAATAAAATATTAATCTATCCCTGTGGTGGCGAACTTATGGCATGCGTGCCACAGGTGGCACGCAGAGCCCTCTCTTTGGGCACATGCACCATCGCCCCAGTCCTAGGCCTTCATCTGGGTTTTATAAAACCTTTTCTCTTTAGGCCTTCACTGCCATGTGCAAAAAAAAAAAAGGTTCAATCAATCAATCAATTTCAACTTCTCACGGGAAAAAAAAGATCTTGCAAAGTTGGAATTGATTGATTGAACTTTTAATCTCACCCAGTCTGCCGTTACCACCACAGCCACACCCACCCAATGGGCCACACCCACCCAATGGGCCATGCCCACCTGGCACCCGACCATACATAAGTGGGTTTTGGGTTGCAGTTTGGGCACTCGGTCTCTAAAAGGTTCGCCATCACTGATCTATCCTATGCGTATCTAATCCATCCATCCATCAATCAATCTCTTTAAACTGACAAAATAAAGTCCAACCTTAAATCATTTCAATCCATTTGACAGAATTCAAATTTCATCCAGCTAATTTTCATAACTAATCACATCCATGTTATCAAACAAACAGATCATCTTATGAGATTAACTCAACATTAATGTCGTAATGGCAAATCGGTTCTATAGGTCAGGGCTTTTCAACCTTTTCACCCATTGTACCACTTTTAGGATATGGCAACATCCAAGTACCACCAGCAAGGTGTCAAAAACTTGACCAAAAAAAAAAGGAAAAAAGTAATAAAGTACAGGTAGTCCTCAACTTACAACAGTTCGCTTAGTGACTGAAGTTATAATGGCACTGAACAAAGTGCCCCCCAAGCCATAGCTGAGCAAGACACCTGCCTGCCTGCCCGGTGGAGCTCTTCCTCCTGTCCGAGGTTTCCATTGTTGTGAGCATTTCTGTTGAGGATTGGCAGCAGGGGTGGGGTGGGGGGTGTTTGGTTTTTATTCCCCCCGTCTGCTGGGTAGTTGCAGCAGGTTTTGGTCACTTCACATGACCCTGGGACACTGTGACTGTCATAAATATGAATCAGTCGCCAAGCATCTGAATGTAAATCACAAGACCCTGGAGATGCTGCAACATTCCAGCTGATTGGCGCTTCTTCTGGGCTCAGCAGAAGCGCCAGGATCAGCGCCGAGCAACAGCTGGAGCCTGGCGCTGATCCTGGCGCTTCCACTGAACCCTGACAGCCCCGAAGAAGCGCCAATCAGCTGGAAAGCAGCACTGATCCTGGCGCTTCCGCTGAGCCCTGACAGCCCTGCAGCTCCAGCCGTCTCTCGCTCAGGCTTGTGCGGTGCTGCCACCGGTTCAGCTCATTCCCCTCCCCTGCTACCACTTTTCTAGGATGGTCACGTACCACCTGCCAGGTGCCAATGTACCACAGGTGGTACCCGTACCACTGGTTGAAAAGCCCTGCTATAGGTGTACAGGAAGGAGTCCTGTTGGGTTGACCGTCGTGGGTTGACCGTCGTGGTTTCCACAGCCCGGGTTTTTTAGTGTTAAATTGTTTTTGTTTCTCCCTCGTTCAGCTTGTGAGTGTGATTCACGAGGCATCCAGACTCTCCAGTGTAACCGGTCAAGTGGCCAGTGCATCTGTAAGGAAGGCGTGGAAGGACCCCGTTGTGATAAATGCACCCGGGGCTACGCCGGCACGTTTCCAGATTGTGCTCCTTGTCACCAATGCTTTGCTCTCTGGGATATCATCGTCAGTGAGTTGGCCAACAAGACCCAGAGATTCCTGGAAAGAGCCAAAGTGCTGAAGATCGCGGGGGTGAGCGGCCCCTACCAAGAGACCCTCCACTCGGTGCAGGAAAAGCTGAACGAGATCCAAAGCATCATTGCTCAAAATCCGGCGACCGAGCCTCTTCAGAACATCGGCGACCTCTTGGAGGAAGCAGAGTAAGTAGGAATAAAGGAGAATATTTGTAGCTGCAGGGTTGACGTGAGGGCACCTTGGGGCTCTCTGAGCTGGGTTGCTTTCCTGCAGACGTTTCACTACCCAAGCAGGTGACATCATCCGTGCTAGAGTAAGTATGGCGTACGGCATAAAAGAACATTGCCTGCCATTAGCCTGACCGTGGAGGACGGAGTGTCTTGTGGTTGAACGATTTTAACGAGAACTTGGGGAGAAAAAAAGGAGGCAAAGATGGAAACATGGCGGCAAAGACTGTTTCTTGTGAATTTGAATGTAAATGATGGTACCTAAGAATTAGCAAACAGGTGTTCTTACCGATTCTGTATAATTCCTTGTGTGTCTGTTCACACTTGGCCAATAAAGCTATTCTATTCTATTCTATTCTATTCTATTCTATTCTGTATTTCTATTCTATTCTATTCTATTCTATTCTATTCTATTCTATTCTATTCTATTCTATTCTATATATTCTATTCTATATATTCTATTCTATTCTACTCTGTTCTGGTCTGTATTTCTATTCTATTCTATATATTCTATTCTATATATTCTATTCTATTCTATTCTATTCTATTCTGTATTTCTATTCTATTCTGTATTTCTATTCTATTCTATTCTGTATTTCTATTCTATTCCTATTCTATTCTATTCTGTAATTCTATTCTATTCTATATATTCTATTCTATTCTACTCTGTTCTGTATTTCTATTCTATTCTATATATTCTATTCTATATATTCTATTCTATATATTCTGTTCTATTCTATTCTATTCTATATATTCTATTCTATTCTGTATTTCTATTCTATTCTGTATTTCTATTCTATTCTATTTATATATTCTATATATTCTATTCTATTCTATTCTACTGTTCTGTTCTGTATTTCTGTTCTATTCTATTCTATTCTATTCTCTATTCCATTCCACTCTCTTCTCTTCTCTTCCCTTCCCCTCCCCTTCCCTCCCCTCCCCTCCCTTCCCTATTCTGCCCTGTACTAGTTTTTGTTCTTATTCTTGTTCCTCTTTTCAACTGGGAAAGCAAAATGGTGAGACCGATGAATCTGTCGATGTAGGAGAAGAGCAGGCCCAGCTGGGAAGCGGAGTTAAACCTGCCAACTTGGAGTAAATTTGCTTCCCAGCCATTTCTCTAAACATTTCTGTCCTCGCCTATTTTACAGACTTTCTGGAGACTTTGAAAGACTGCATTGTGCAACACTTCCCTTCACAGAACGCGGCTTATGTCTTACGGCTTATGCAAAAAGTTCTTCACACAGATGGTTTATTATCTGGGGCATGAAACAAATTAGGGACGGGCCCATGAGCCAACGCAGCATACGTCATTGGCAATATTCAAGCACGTTACGGCAGCCTTATGGAATGCCAAAGTGTGCTGTTTTCCCAAGCTATTTTTTTTCCATTTTGTGTTCCTGAAGCCATGATATTGCAAAGCAGACAACCCCAAATACACCCATCTAGGAGGAAAGACCATCATAACAAAATACAGCTAGTCCTCGACTTAACAGCAGTTGATTTAGTGATCGTTCGAAGTTACAAGGGCGCTGAAAAAAAAGTGACTTAGGACCGTTTTTCGGTCTTATGACCATTTGCAGCATCCCCATGGTCACGTGATTTATATTCGGATTACTCATATTTGTGACGGTCGCCATGTCCAGGGGACACGCCGTGTCCGTGGAGAGAGGTTTTCCCACGGACCGGAAAGTGCGAGGTTTCGTGTGCTGCCTGCATCCCACAGATGGGACTTTGCTTGTTTGTGCGGGCCGGTTGCTGGACCGGTGGTTGGGGACCTCCGACTTCGCAGCTGTGGTGAGCGAGGTCGTAAAACGGGGCGGAAAAAAAATCACCTGAGCCACTGTCTCAGCTAGCAACAGAAAATCTGAGCTCAACTGTGGTCGTATGTTGAGGACGTCCTGCAATCTACCCTGAACAGGGAAGAAGGGAAATCGTTTGAAATGTGTCTTTAGATTCCGGGTTTGCGTCGCGGCGCATTAATGGCGTTTTTTTTTGGGATTCACAGGAAGCTAAAAACAGATGTGGCCAAAAAGATAACGGAAGTCGAAGCAAAGCTGTCTGCCGTGGCAAACGACAGCAGCGCCGTGGAGGCTGAGCTGAGGGCTTTAGAGGCAGATGCGAAGAGTTTACACAATGCTGTGAAGGAACTTGCCGAACAGCTGGAGTTCATAAAGATCTCCGATGTTCGAGGTTTGTATTTTGAGAACCTCGAAGAATTTTGGCCGGGTAAATCTGGCTTTGGCTCAGAAAGGAAACGGTGGGAAGGGAGCCTCAGCGGATCTATCTCATGAACATTTCACAGCATCTGGCCCGAACTAAAGGCTTGAGGCAGGATCTGGGCTTGGGAAGCGGTGAAAATATTTTAAATGGATGAAAGTCACCTGGATTTCTGTCAAACGAACTTAACTGGGCTTCATGGGGCCGTGCTTAATCACGGCCGCGTCGTGCATTTAATTTCGTAGACCGCTTCTCCAAACTACAAGGAGTCCTCAACTTACAATCACTCATTTAGTGACCGTTC